AGTAAATGTATCAGTGATTGCATAGTTTTTCTATCAGTTAAATGTCGTGCTGCTTCTTCAGGAGTTGTATTATAAATATCATATTGTTTATGATTAACTAAATTTTTACCTTGAAAGTAAGTTCGATTTAATAAATTAATAATTAAATCACTATTATTTTTTACAAATGTTCCTATCGTAGAAGTATTATTAAAAATATTTTCTATTGTTTCATTAATTTGTTCGTGTGTTGATATTGATTCATTGCCTGTTGAATAATTCAATGTTAATAATAATGTATTGTTATCAGTAGATGATGGAATTACTTCATTTGAAGAAGAAGTTTCATTATTGAATAGAATAGTATCTGTTGATATGAATGAATAAGTACTGTTTTGTATTGATGTCATCTGTTCAGTTGTTAATAATGTTGAGTTTAATGTTGTAGAAATGATATCTGTTGTAATCGTTGAATCTGAAGAAGTTAATATTGTTGATGTTAAATTTGTTATTGAATCATCAGTAATTATATCATCATGAATTGTTGATGTATCAAATAGAAATTGAATTGATGGTGTTGTTGTTTGAAAAAAATCAAATTGAAATGGATCAAAACCATCGTTATAACGATAATCAGATTGTTCTTGCTGTTGGTGTGGTGATTGTGTTTCATCAACATTTGGATAATCTAATGCTTGAAGATAATTTGGAATATAAACTGAATGATGTTGAGCATTAATTAAATCTTTTTAAGATAGAAAGAAAAACAGGCTTTTCAATAAAAAGAAAAAGAAAAAAATAACACACCTGTAATTAGGTATATAAGGATGGTAAAAGAAGAATAATACCACAATTTCAACATCGTTCGAAGCTATTCAATTAATCAATACAAAAAAGAAAAAGAAAATGATGATGACGATGACGACGACCGGCGACAGCGGCCTAATCAAGTTGTTGTGTGTGCGGATTCAATTGCTCGAATTTCCCTCTTTACATGCGCATACTTCGCGTCCCTCTCTGTCTTTCTCTTTGTCTTCTTCGTTTTTCGTGTATTCCCTCTGCTTTGTGTGTATATGTGATTGTTTGTTTTACACTCGATCTTAATTGTGAAGAGAGGCGAAGGAGCTCCAATGTCCGGCGTATATATATATATATACATATATTAGAGAAGAAGAATTGACAAGAGACAAAAGAGGAAAAGAAAGAACAATGAGTACAGGAGAAAGAAAAGATCACCTATCCTTTTTTTCTCGTCTTCTTCTTTTTCGTCTGTCAACTCTCGAAATGATAGTATGTTGTACAGATTACGAATTGAACTAGTAAAAGTCATTTATGTTTTGTTCAATTGTCACATAAGAATAAAGAAAAGAATTTACGAGGCAAGATTTACTAGGAGGTGACATTGAAAAGATCATGTTAGGTATTAAATATACAATGTAAAAGTTCCACATATCATTGCGATAATTCTCTTTGTTCACTATTTTTTCTAATACCACAAAGTATGTTCAACAATAGCAAAGGTCGAGCTGGCTTAGAGTTTACATATACGTTTGCAAACATGAATATTGTTGAATTTTCTTTACTTTTTCTCCCTGTTTTTTTTTTAAAGCACGTTAAAAGCCGATAGATGATGTAAAATAAATGTATCCGTCTTTGATTCATTTATTGTCATTCTTTTGGATTCAACACATTTGTACATTTGATCTAACATTTCAATGACATTCGTCAGTTGATTATAACTTGTAACCTTGTTCGGATTATCTTCTATAAATAGTAAACCTTAATACATACAATCAATAAGCGATATTGAGAACATGATAAATTAAATATAATATCATTGATCACACTTTTTCGTAAACATGGAATAGAAGTTTTTTTTTTTGCAAAGGTGTCATGTTTTATAACAGAAAAATGATAATAGTCACGCTTGCCTGCTCGTATTTATTTATTGCTTTAAATATGTCATATATTCATATATATCATCTGGTTTGTTTTCTTTGCTGTCATTTCTCCACTCGTTTATTTTTCTCTATGGCATAACAAAATTTTCTTTACGATTGATCATTCGCTTGTTTTTATGTACGTCTTGGTTGGCTGATGTTTTATTTTGTCCTTGCAATGTTGCGTTTTTCTCACTGATAATTTTTTGTGTGTGCTTGTCTTGTATTCAGTTCTAATATTTAATCAAACGTATGTTTCAAGCATTAGTAAAAGGTAGAAAAGACACAGAAAAAAAAGAAGGTAGGTGGTCTGATGCTGCGATAATGTTTTGCTCATAGATATTGTATCAACTCACACATCAACTTCAAATGTCTGCTCAAGGCCAGTAATATCCGTCAGAAAATAAATCAATATGGTTCATTAAATCATTTATGTTAAATTAGTTTCTTAACATAATTAAATCCGAGTAATAATATTTGATTATTATAGATTGTTTTGATTCATTTGCTGATAAACTATGTATTATGACATCAATTATTAGGTAATAGAATACAAATCAACTAGAATGACGACACTGATGCCACGTGGTTATGGAGGATTTCCCTCCTTTCAGTTTAGTTCACCCAATCAGACTCACAATCGATATTATAATGATAGATATCCAAGGTACGGAGCATCTTTCGCACCTCACTACCCAACTCCGCGATTTTTTCAACCACCTCTCTATCCTACGAAAAGTTATACAACAGCTGGTCTCTACCAAGATCAACAATCTAGTTTTGGTAGTCAATTTGAAAGATTTTTATATAAATTAGATGATCAGTATCGATATGAACAATACTTACGTAGATTAAGAAAAATACAAGGGCAGTATAAAGGACTTCAAGGCAATAACTATACATCATTAACTCCAAATCATCATTATGGCACAGTATATCAATATGAAAAAGAGACAAAATATATACCAATACCAGTATTGATGAATTCTGCCACGGAACGCTATGCTCCTCTTATAAATTCAGGTCTTGGTTTTCCTCCGAATATAGATTACCCTGTTGGTCTTAATTATGGAGCAAGTCATGGTATGAATTTGCTACCAAAAATCAGAGTCATTTTCATACCAACAGGTCAATCATTTTTACAGCAACCATGGATAGGCCCCTTGGTGAGTATTTCATTTAATCACTTTTAAAAATATGTTAAAACTAAAACTTTGTATATTTCAGACGACACCACCTTTTCTTTACAATCGTATAGCACAACCTTTATACACATTTCCACTACCGCCACCATTACCGCAACTAGGAACATTGTCTCTTACACCTGCAGTTCAACAAATGGTTATACAACGCTATAGCAATCCTGTTGCTGTGTTACCTTATACGACTAGCTGGCAAATGCCTCAACTGATGATGCCCAGTTATCCACAATTTTGTCAAGCGCAACCTATGGTACCTATATCAGTCTTTCCGTCATTTCCAACTGCTCCACAATCCTGCATTCCTACTCTGATGCCAGCTTTCCCATCTCTTCCACCTGCACCACAATTATACCTTCCTCCTCCTCCTAGCATGCCGATGGATCAATGCATGCTATCACCACCATCTTTACAATTACCATTATCAGGAGTTAATGCAATTTCATCATTACCTCAATATTTTAATAGCAGTTATCCAAGCATATGCCGTGCATGTCCACCAGTACCACCTGCACTTAACATATCAGTCACTGGTCACTGTTGGGTACAACATTGTGCTGCTTGTCATCATGTACCTACTTCTATTACTAATCCAAATGTGCGACCTTCTGGAGGGCGAATTACACCATTGCTTCGCTATCCAACAGTACCACAATATGTACCTGATCAGACAATACAACAAAAATATTTTCAAAATGAGGCGCCAATTTTGATGCGTCCTTGGCTACGAAAGACACCGCCACTTCCACCCGGTGCTATTCTTATTTCAGATGAATATATTACTAACAACGGGTATTCTTCACGACATGATCGTTCACGAAGAAAAAAAAGGCAACCTAGACATAGTTATTATCCAGAGGAACGATCCACAACTGTAGCATCACGGACAGTAACCACAGCAAACCCAGTCGCTATAAAAGTTAATAGAAGTGTATCACCAAGAAGAGCAAGCAAAAATTATAATCATGAAACTCAGAATGAAGGATCTATTCAATCAAATGGTATCATATCGAAAAGTTCATCAAGTACTACAACAAGTGGTTTGACTGTCGAATATCAAAAAATAACATTGCATTCATCTAAGTCCAAAGAAAACGATATTCCTAAACAATTAGTTGACGAGGCTCGTAATATTAACTTTCAATATAATTACCAACCACAAGAATTACCTTCTGTTTATCTTGTTAATCATTATTTAAAATCGAATAGTGAAGCTTCTACATTAGCTTCAAGCTTTAGAACATCATCCAATTGTTCTCCTTCACTCATTAAGGAGCACAGTCAAACTTTATTGTCATCAAGTGACTTTAATTCAATAAAAGAAGAAGCAAACTCAGAGAAAGAAAATGAAAAATCAACTCGTCCTTCTTCTCAAATAAAAAAACAGAAAGAACGATTGGTTATTATACGAGAATTTATGACAAGTTCTCCATCAACAATGAGCACTATTTCATCCAATACGTCATTTAGTATAATTGACAATAACATAGACATGACTTCGAAAATAAGTTCATTAAAAACGAATCAATTAGAGGAAAACAATATCCTTCATCATGAAATATTTTAATTTACAACTATTCACACCTGTCAAAAAATCAATATTAGTACGCTAATTACCTTTTTTTTTTTCATTCTGTCCTATAATGTAATCAAATATTATTTTGCACAAATTATTAACGTCTATTAATCTTCGTCCTTCACACGCTGATCGACATTTTCTTTTAATGTTTATTTTTTTTATTAGTTAAATAAATTACTGATTAATAATAAGGATATGATAGTCTGTTTGTTTCATTAAAATTCAAAATAAAAAAAATAAATTCAAGCAAAAAAAAAAGTTCTGTTCAATTGTTTTTTTTTCTATTTTCCATATGCATCATCGTCAACAAAGATAATCGACAGTTGGTGATGCATTTACAACGTTTTGTTGTTGTTGCGATGCATTATTACTTGGGTTTGATCCTGTTGAAGGAAATAAATGAAATTCCGATTGTTTAGCTACGTCTTTGACTGGAGGAAAATTTCGATCAACCGGTATATTTATATCAGATGTATGACGAAGTAACATTGAAGAACTAGACATAACAAAAAACAAAAATGAAGCAAGGTTTCAATTAAAATAAAATTTCCACTTACTATGGTAAATTTGCTTCATACATTCTTTCATTTGGTACAGGTAAAGTAAAATGTTCAACTGGATGTAATGTACCACTACGATCTATATATGTATCTCGATGTTCTTGTGAAAGCTAAAACAAATAAAGATGATGTTGTTTTTTTAAAAAGAAATATAAGCAATTAACTTGATGAAATTTTCGTATTTCATTTGTTCGATCAACATTTGTATTGTTAAGTGCATACTTTGGTATATAAAGATATTGATCACGACTACGACGACGATCACTCATAACAAGTTCTGGTTGATGAGTATATGGAGTTGGAAAATAACCGCCTAAGATAAGTAAAAGACTGAAAGATCAGGCTGTGCAATTTTAGTGACAATACTGGAATGCGGACACACTGTCTACACTGAATTAATGTTCACTGAAGCATTAACACATCCACACTGTATGGATATATCAGATAAACTAGTGGACACTGATTCATTGTAGTCAGTGTGAGTTTTCTGTGAACAGTTTATTGGAACTGCACATTCTTCCTTAAAGACATAAAAAGAAACACTAACCTCTTGCATAAAGGCTTTGTGATGAATTCAATGCTTCACTTCGATAATCTTGAAAATATTTTGCTGTTGCATTACCAAATGTTTCACCATATTGAAATTGTGTAGTTGGAACATGACCTCAATGCACAAAAAAACTTTCTTATTCTAATTTTTCTTTTTGTTTTATAAAAGGTTACCTTTATATCCTGGCATAAGTGATGGTGGATAATAAGCTAATAGAGAAATTAAAATATCACATGCTCTTTTTTGCATTGTCTACCGTAAAAAAAAACATACTAGCATTGTAAGTTGTTTGCAAAGTTCCAGCTGCTCGTGACATTGTATAATCGATGAAGATTGAAATAGGCGACAAATGAAGTTTTATTTTTTTTTGAAAATATTCTTATTGTATCGACATTTACCTGTTAGTTGCTCTACATTGTCCTCTTTTCAAAATATAAAAAGAAAACAATTTGTTTATGTCGCTAGTAAGTAAAAGTATTTCATTTTATCGGCGCCAAAATATATATCTCAACTTACTAATTGTTTATTCAATAATATATAATGCCATTTCGTATTTGTAATTCCCTTACTACAAACTATTCATCCTTAGAATATCAAAAAATTCATGAATATGAATATAAAAAATTTTTAAAAACTCTTCAAATGAATAAAACTAATCCAATGAATATGTTAAAAGAAAAGTTGTCGAAAAAAAACCATCAATTATATTATAATAATAATTATTTATTCGAACGTCAAAGTAATTTACAATATCGACAAGATAAACGAAAAATTCTCTATGAACATATTCAAAAAGAAAATTTAAAATTTAGTCAAAAATTAATTAATGCAAAAGCTTTTCTTAATCGTTATGAACAAAAATTATTTTTTGATAAACATTGTAAACTTAAACAACAATTACAACGTTATCCAGATTCAATACAAATTAAAACAAAAAAATCAAATTTTCAATTTTCACCTAATGAAAATTTCAAAATTAATAATAAATCTGCAAATTCATCAGTTTTAGTCTATAATAATAATAATAATAATCGATTATCTTGTAAATCAATTAAATTACAAGAAAAATATTCAAAAATGAATAATCATATATTTATTTCAAAAGATTCATCATCTCATATAAATAAATCTCAAATAAATCAGAAAAAACTTACTTATTTTACAAAACATAATTCAAAATTTCCAAAAACACTTCCACCTATTATATTAACTATTGAAAATACAGAGTAAGTTACTCTTTGTACTTTTGAAAGTAAAAATACTCAATGCAATCCCTTAAAGATTCTCAAATTCAAATGCGATAAAAACCATGTAAAAAGTAAACAAGACACCTTTTTGACACAGCACAATAATTTAGATTTCTATTACCACGTATTAGTTTGTTAGAAGCAGAACAGTAATAAATGATGATCAGAGTTGTCAGAGCAAAAAGTTAAAAGTCACATATATATACTGATTATAAATATCAGAAATAACTAGAATTATTTTGTTTGAAATCGAAAAGACTGTTTGATATATTTTCCTATGGGCATAATATTGTTCAGTCAAGTCGATTACTTATACAATTAGACATGTTCGTTGATACGGTTATGGGCGTCAATAGATGAGTCATTATGGAAGAAGTATCTACAATAGCTATTCGAAAATGTTTTTCTTTTTTGGCATGTAATATGACCTAGCAAGAAAAAGCAATTGTTATCGAAGTTTTTGTCTCCTGGCAATGGCTGTGAAAAATCTAGGTGAGAATTATTGTACGTTGTATACTAGAAAGATCTTTTTCGGAATACTCTTTTCAGTGATCTTTACAAGAAAAATATTTGCAATATCTTCTAGTAAGATGTCAAAGAACTTTGTTTCAAGCAGAATTTGTACTGAAATTTAAAAAAATGTCAAAAATTCGATAAGGCTCTCGTCATAAGACATCATATAAGTGTCCTTGACAGAATGCTTCTCTAAAAGTCTCCTATACGTTTGATAATCATCATATAAAAGAATGTTGGTGAAAAATTAGACCTCCAGTAGAAGCACCAATGGCAAATAATATTTCTTTGAGACACCGTATTCTACAATGCTGAAAATTATCGGCTAACAAGTATGTTCACAATACAAGTGAAACGAACAAAGACAGATTATACACACACCCGACATATATTCAGTATTAATAAATGGTTATACATATTAAGCAAGCACTGGGAAATCAAAATCCTAGAAAATCTTAAAAATTAGAAAAAAAATCTAAACTTCAAAAACTTTTCTTTCTTTTCAGAAGATTTGGAAACCCTAATAACGACAAAAAATTAAGATGCGTAGAGCATAGCTAGATGCTACCAACATAAATCAGATTGCATAATATCAGTTTTACTTTTCATCTTAGTATATTGATTGATTTATATTTGTAAAATAGCATCATCCTGATTTCTCGCTTTAAACGAAAAACGCTTATTATATTGCTTGTCTTTTGTTTTCTTTTTTTAATAAAACTCGTAAAATCTTCTTATTTATCAAGAAAAAGATCGAACATTCCAACTACTGATACGAATCTATTGGACAGCGAATTATCACTCAGTCCATCTACTAATAATATTATTAATTGGAACATTTCAACTAATATCGAAAATCTCAAACAAAAACAATCATCATTAAACATACAATCTTCTAAAACTATATATTCATCTCAATCTTCATCAACATCAAAATCAAATTTATCCATTCTATGAAATCTAAGATCAGTTGTTTTTCGTACATAAATAATTTGTACAAAGCACCAAGATGATTGAAAAAAACACGACAGCATAAATATACTCTATAGAAAAATAACGCATGAAAAAGAAAAAAGAAAAAGAAAATAAAACAACTATTAACAATCAGTCGAATTTCTTAATGTTTTTTGTCGAATATTCATTGATAACGGCTGTCTTCGAATTGGTGTTGTACGTCGTTTCCAAATAGGTGATGGACTTTGTCGATTATTATCAGACTTTTGATTTAATGATCTTGAATTTGATGTTAATAAAACATTACACGAACGACTTGATGCTAAACGTTGCGAAGAAGTCTTCTTTGTTAAATATGATGGTTCAGAATTACGTATACTTGTTATTGTACGATCATATGAATTTTGTCGCCATTCGACTGTTGTGGCTATTGAAGCAATACAATTATCAATTGTTTTAACAAATGTTTGAGCATCTCTATAAAATAGGAAATTTTTTTTTTTTAGTATTAAAAAACAAAATAATCTAAAAAAAAATTAATTCAATTTTTTACTTATTAGCAAATCGAAAATATGTTTTTAAACGAGTTTTTGAATCTGTTTGAGTTAATTGCCACATAAGAATATTATTATCTTTAATATCATCACTTTCTATTAACTCAACATTAATATTTTCCATTGGAATAAATCGAATAAATCGATCAGATATTATTTTATTTCCTTTGTGAATCGATAATATATCCTAAAGAGAAAAATATTGAGTTTAATTATTTGTAATTAAATAAATAAGCTTTTATTTTACTTGTTTTTTCTTATTTGATTGTTCACGTACTATTAAAAGACATCCATTGCGAAAAACAAAACAGTATGTTTTTAAGCGTTGATGATTTTTTCCAAGAAGGAACAAATGCATATTAATCCAATCAATTTCTCCATAAGCACATAGATCAGGTAAATTTAATTGTAAAGTCTTAATAGAAAAAAAAAATAAGAACATGAAAAATAAACAAATCATAAGAGAATCTTTTCAACTTGACAAACACTTTTGAATTCGATCACTGTGAATAAGGAAGGCCATCTCGATAGAGTTATAACTATTTTATTAAAATTTTAGCCTATTGTACAGTATGTATAAAAGAGTTCAATGACCATATTTCATTCTGAAATTTTACCTATGGATAGACCATAGTGCACTGAAAATTTCAATTGAGAAGAATGTTTTCTTCATGAAATAGTGAATTACCAAAAATCACTTATATTTCACGAAAGATTCGAGAATTTCATGACTTTTAGGAATTCAATATCTTGTGAAGCAAACATGCTTTTTAGCTGAAATTTTCAGGACATCTAAGTTACAAGTATATGTATCTATAAGCTAAAATCTCAGTAAAACGTCTAGAACTCTAGAAAAGGCCTAGATGTCCTAACCCTTTCACAGCTTTTAATAAATCATCGGAATCGAACCTATGAATACAGTTTGAACTCAAAAGTGATTTTCAAGGTAAAAAGATTCCTTCTTAAGAAAAAAATAAATAACTCAATACTTTATTATGTTCTTCACTGTAAGTTTTAGTTATATATTCAAATGATTGTCCGAAATCTTCATAAAGTTGTTGCATACCATTCATATATTCACCAATATTATTCATCATTGTAATAGCTTGTTTTAATTTTAATATTTCTATAGATAATAAATGTTCAGGAGAATTATTTTCATTTGAATTTAAATAATTTAACATTTGTTGTATAAGTAATGGATATTTAAGTATACGTTGAACTGGTTTTATTAAATAAGATTCAAATGATAATGAATGTTGATGACGTGGATTACGTGCAGCAAGAAATTCTTTTAAATGTTGATTACTTTGATGAATATCAAGTAAACGATTTATTCTCAAATGCATAGCACAAAATGTTGAATATAATTTAAAATATTGAGAATATGAAAGAAATGTATCAGCTATTGATACAAGAATATCCTAGAAAGATAATTGAATTTACTTTATATAATAATCAACATAAAAATAAATCGTACACGAAATTCATGAGTAGCATTATAAGCAAGTATTTCTGTTGGAATACTTGATTCAAGACGTTTAAGAAATGTTTGTTGTAATTGATGAATTGATTTAACACTAACATATAACGATTCGATTGCATCAGCAGGCAAAAGTTTTGAATCATCACGTAATGGTTCAATATATCGTTCGAGTAAGCGTTGCATATCCTGAAAAAAAAACATTTTTTTAAAGATTTATCTATCAACAATAGATATACGAAGTTTCCGAGAAGTCACCTATCCAAAAAAAGGACTATGCATCCTCATTGCAGTTCAAAAAACCCAAGTAGCTTTCTTTTCTTAATCATAGGAACGGCTTGAAAATTTTCTGTTCAACCCATAAATACTCCTGGAAATCATGTCTTTTGGATCCAATATATTAAAAAATATCGTTTTTTTTTCGAGTTTCGAAAAACAAAAGACAAGATTTTCTGCTGAACTGTTTTAATTTTTCTTTGTTATTCTGCATTTTCCCCCATGCTGATGTTCTTATTTGACCTTATACATATTTATATGAGTTATTTTTTGAAAAGATTAGAAACAT